TGAATTTGGTTGGTTTATCTGTTCAGGCAGACTACATTGGTTAGAAAACAAATCGATGATAAGTTTAAAATCACTTGTTGACATAGGGATATGATAACATTTTCCCGTTGTGTCTACACTCCTATACATTGAAGCATACGTTTATAAGTGAAGAGAAAAACATGGGTGCACAACTCACAGCACATAAGATGTATGAATTATAGACTGATATTTACAAGGCATACATGAAAGTTTTGTTTACAGTATGATGTTATGATTTCATTTGCATGGAAAAACAGCAACACAGGAAATCTGTTATTTTAATTCCTACAAATCAATTTTTTTACCTGACGGAAAAAATTACAAGTACACTTTGTGCATAAATAAAAACATAAATTTATCACCACTACTACTTCTAAATTCGTGCTTGAGATAACTCAGTTACAACATTTAATGCCTAATCAAGGGCAAAACAGATTATTAGAATTTCAACTTATATAGTTAGATGAATGGTTAAAAGATTAAGGCGCCGTTTTAGTTGTACAAATAACATAGAAATCAGAACGATATTTGATTTTTATTAATATACACGAAATAATATTGTGGTATATGCTACTTACGCTGACAGATATAAGTAGCATGTAGTACCAATCGGAAGTGGAATGCCTAGCAGAAGAAGATTGGAATGAAGAGAATAGGAAGGAACTCGGAGAGCAATCAAAATAACAACAGAACTAGAGGAATAATGGAGTTGATATATTTCTCTCTTACGGTTATAACCAAGCTATTCCTATTGCTTAGTATTCTTGGACACCAAATCACTAGACAAGTCCCCAAATCAGAACATGGTTGAACGGGAAAGAGATTATATTCCAAATAACAAGGTTAGATGGAAGTAAGAAGCACAATAGGGAAAACGTTAGTATATTTATAGTTTTTACATGAGAAGATTCTAGAGTATTCTCCAAGCATCGGCTAGTGCTGATTGGATAAGAATTAGCCAATCAGCGTGCACCAAAGCAATCGTGTATTGAGTATGCTTTAATCCAGTCTATGTCCTGCTAAAAGGAGTATGTAAAGGACAACGCAAATATGTGCGAACAATGTATTTAATGTATGATTTTCATATTTTACTAAGCCACTGCGTGATTTTGCATTACAAAATAAATTGATTTTTTTTGCGTCTGAGTTTCAATTCATTACAGTGTACCATAAACTTTAATAATACATCATACCATCGACTGTTATAGATGAGTTATTTTCACTGGTTGAATATTACTAAATGAATGGTTATGTAATCTGGGAGAAAATTATTTCATAGTTGCCGGTCTTTATCTTCAGTTAACCAGTAACCACTGTTTTATTTTTATGAAGTTGAAATAATACAGAAGACCCATATACAGCCCAAAATCTCAAAGCAGTATTTTCACTGACTGAATTCTGCAACTCAGAAATAATTATTGATGAAACTAAATAAAAAATTAGTCTGGGACATCGTCATGCAGTCGATGTGTTTTAGAGCCACATATTAAGTTAGTGATATATGAAGTAGATAACATGTTGTCTGTTAATAATGAGTATTAAACAACTGGTTACACTTTACCCTTATGCATCGCATTTATAACCTATTAAGAAGTGAATCAGTTAGATTAAAGTTAGAGCACTTGATTTTTAATCAGTAAGTCATATATTCAAACTTCACTAAATCTAAAACAGTAACAACAACCAATTAGTTTTACTGGCCATCACAAGAACCTAAACTGGGTTACTAAGTTAGACTAATTTAAATTACGAATTCAAATGGATATCACTTTGATGCCGTAGACGCTTTTACAGAAGTGGTTATTTTCTTAGTAAGCAGATTTTATTAACTATGTAATTACTACAAGTTAGTTTGGCCAAACGTTGGAGTGGAAGCGTCTTTAAAAAGCACAGATACATGATGAAATTAAGTGAAACAACGTGATTAACTAATCAAATGAACCTTAGTGATGAACACAAGAACCTAATTATTATTCTATTCCTGCTAAGTTTCCTGTGATTATAGCATTTTAAAACCATTACACTAGATTACATAGTATCTGTTATTTATTTATTTATTTTAACACATAGATATTGGTACAAGGAGGCACCAAATACATATGCGCCACACAAATCTCATTCGATATGTGTGAGGGCTGTGATACTGCCCGGGTGCCCCAACCGAGACAGGTGGTTTTCTTAGTGAGCCACTACCCGAGCCTTCGAACTGGAGGTCTGATCGACAAGGCAGTGGAGCATCGTGAGGAGATGCAGTCCCATGAGAGCCGGTGACCAACAATTGGTTCATACGCCACTTGTTACCGCAGGATACTGGAGCCCATGTGCACCATTGGTTTGAAATCCGGTTAAAGCGCCGGACATTCGTTTTTCGTCCTCTCATTTTCGTAAACAATACCCCGCCAAGAGAAGGCAATGAGTAGGACTTACCTGGCAGAGGCTATATGTGCATGGCCGTGTGAGAGCATTTCGAGAGAGAGAGCGGGCTCTCCCCACTCTCGGCCGTACCAGGGCATTTGGGGGCTACATAGTATCTGTACTTGTGTTTGATTCGACAACGTCGTACAGAGACGCGACTAAAACACATGCACCAGTGATTTACATTCCGTACCACTATTCAAATAAGGATAATGGATATTTTTGCTTATACGTGGACGTCTATTGTTGATATTCAAGAATGAATTGACCAGTTGTAAAAATGATTCAGTGGAGAAAGCTTTTCCGTTTGAAGGCTTTAGTTACTTAAGCTGTACAATCGTATTTATAATAATTTAACAAAAATAGTTTGTTAAAAAAACAAATAGGTTTGAGGAGTGAGGCGACAGGGAGTTTCAAGTGTCAAGAGTGCTAAGTAACAAACTGTAGGCTAAAGAAAGCTAATTAGATGAAACAAAATGTATGAAAGATAACTGTCCATTTGACGAAGATGATAAAGTTGAGGAATAAATAAAAAAGTGAGGGTGATTAAAACAATTAATTAGAAGCATTAGAAGTGTTCTTAACTAGTTTACTAAGCATTAGGAGCTATAAGTGTTAGGACTACAGTAGAATAAAAGCTTTCACGTTTTTATAGAGTTCAGACATAAAACACCGAGTTGTTGACAACTTTGCGTGCGCAATTCGTTGATTTATGCTCCCTTCAAGATCAGTTATTTAATCATATAGGCGGTCTATAAGCTTATTTTTGAGGGACAGCAACCGAAATCGATGTTCCACCACTGATTTATTGATCGTTTTTCAACCGGAAAATAAGAACCATACGATCGACAACATATTACTTGAGAAAATGACGGTGGCAACAACTCAGTAGGTTATTGTATAACTCTGTGATACTTAAGACGTTAGGCACTAATATCTAGTTGGATTAGAAGAATCGACACAGGTATACAGTACTGTCCTATCATCAGTATAAGTGCCCTAGTATTTCAGTCACAAACCAAAAGAAATGGGACATTTATCGGATCTGAGTGACAAAAAAGTAAAAAAGGAAGCAGAGTGACTAATCTAAGATGTGATATTAGTTCTTGAAGTTGACGATTTGTTATATAAGTGGGGTAGATTTCATGATGCCTAAAAAATCGATAACCTGTAGCTATAAATTTACTGCAACAGAATATGATTGTACCCGTTGTTGATAATGTTTAACAGTAAGAATGACCTACAACAACAATACATTTTTTCGTGTATCGTTGACGCGGTAACAATCTGGCAAGCTTAATTTTCATGGTGTTGGTGATAAACTTCATAATTAAGTAAGTCCTGTTTTAATGGTTATGAGCACATAGACAGCTATGTCTATGTAATGGAGTGAAATCTTAGAAGCCAGTATGAGAACCGAGTTAAACACTGCCTGTGAATAGTAAACAAGCAAATAAGTTGGGATCCACGAAATTAGAGAGATCACTTTATAGCAACTGATGGTGCAATACGTTACGAGTCACACTTACAAAAGAGTTGTGTCAACATAAATACGAACAATATTTAGTTTTACTAACTTTTATAAAGACAGAATAGTCAAAGAAATCGGTGTGCTTACTATCCAACACAATCAGATAAAAAAACAATCCAAAAATCACAAAAATATTTGTATAATTTGTTTTGTTGCAGATACAAATTAACGTTAAACAATAAACCTAGCTGAAGATGCCTTACCAAGCAGTTGGAAGATAAAATCTCGACATTTTGTACACATCAGTTTCAAAGAGCACATTTGCAGACGATTACCTGAGTTTCACACTCCCAAAATGAATAAGACAAACAACCAGTCTTTACATGTCCTATACTCAGAGATTTTGAGTACCCTCTAAAAACGGTGTGATAATAATGGAAAATTAGGTAACTGTTGGACATCGATATATACACCGATCCGGTGAAAAAAGTTTTCAGCTTATGAAACTATCCCCATAATGACATAGAAGCACTTCCAAGACATTATCAAACGTTTCTGAAGTTGATTGGCCATTGATATGCAAAATAAGCCATGGTTGTCGAGGATTATGTATGAAAATACTTATCACAAATTTGTTTAATGTAAACACAACTTACCAGACACTTATTGAACGCTAATGTACAAAAACAGAGGAATAACGTGAAGCCATAAAAACCGGGCAGACCTCTCACTAAAAGCCTTTGAAACTTTCTTCTGACATAAATATTTGGCTAATACTTAGCAGTGTAAGCACTGTGTAATAATGGTTCAAGCAATGAGAAAATCACTGCACAAGAAAAGCCAGCGAAATCCTCCCTAAAGGTCATGGTGACCTTACGCAAAACTTGTGAGAAGCTCGAAAGTATTCTATTTAAACTGAAAATAGTCCGTGGTAGTCATTAGATGAACGATTTCTCAGAGTCGCCATAAGTGAACACATGACTCACACATAAATGGAAAACATTATATCTATTTGACGGTACAACGAAAAAAAAGAAATTAACTTCAGTTCCAAACAATGAAATACTTTAATGATCAGATCAAGTTAACTTACTTCGAGGCTCGAAATTCCATCTTTAGGACCTGTAAGTTACATCTCTGAGAGCAATGGGGCACTTACTTAATTTCCCAAAAGATGATGATAATCGCTTTCGGATTCTTTTGAGGATACGAAGCTTTGAAGTTGGTTTTTCTGTAAAGGGATAAAAATGTAATCATACATGTTCTCAACATGTTAATAAAACCAATGCTAACTTTAAATCCGCACATTACCTTTAAGTGTCAAGCTCTTATAGAGAATGGGTTCTTGACTAGTCTGCCCAACCTCCAACCCAGTTTCTGCCATTACTCTACGGGACAAAGACATAAAACCATAGAGCCCCTCAAGAGGAGCGCTTTAAACTAAAGCACATGCAAAGTTCTTTTTTCAAACGGAAAAACAAATCCAGAATTGAGACTAGGTTCAATAAGACAAAGCTTATATATCAAGATAACACCAACTTTTTGATGTTACGTTTTCAGCAATAAACGGATTAACCTGTGTGAATTCTCACAGTTTTTCTTCTAGTGATCCAACCTCATATTGAAAATATTCACTGATAGGATTCAAATCAGTTACAAGAACATAGAGTTTCAATGCTAAACCATTCAGCAGCAAAACGAGTTTTATTTTTCGCTTGTTTTGCCTTAGTGTTAGGAGCCTCTTTAAGTGGCTGCAGAGTTGATTAGTTCTGAACGACGACTTATTTACATACACCTGTTGTCCCTCGTGGAGGAGTATAAGCCGCTCATCTTTATTCACCATATAAATCTGCCCTGGACATTCCTTTATAGTTGCTTTCAGTTTCTGTTTGTCCCTTTGGTGTCTGCTTTTAAGTCCCGACGTAATGAATTATCTGGCTTTCCTCTAACACTCAAATAATCACAGAAGATACGCCATCCCAATATAAAGTCAACTGGAGTTCTATGTAACCTGTCTAAATCAGCTTAGAAAATAAAGTTATAAGCCCTAATTTGTAGCGTTATCTAAATATTGGTACCGTTTACAGACAATAATATAGAAAACTTCAGCTGTTTGGGTGTTAGAGTAACATAACGAAGGAAATAGGGATCTTAAGTGATGCCATGAAGTACACCACTTTTAACCAGTTTACACCAGAGTAATGTCTCATTTACTTTCAATTTCTGCCTCCATCCACAGGCTACGTTTCCAATCTGCTCTTGTACGATACCTACTACTCCAAAGTTGGAGGGTATCTGCTTAAGCCCAGGTAACAAGGTTTGTTGCACGGGTTAATACATCTATGAACATCCACTCGACACATGAACCGTTGTCTTGGGATGCTGTTAAATCCCATCCCACAGCCAGTAACTTGTTTATGCACGAATGTCTATTCCAAAACGTGCTTTGTACGAGCGAATACTTTTTATGGTTCAACATGACTTAGTACGCTATCCCGAACTATTTTTCAAGTACCGTACTTACTACTAATTTTATGGATTTGGTGTTCATCTTTTCGTGCTAATATGGTATAGCAACTTGAAATGATGCCTACTTGTGCCTGGTCCTACGTAGTTGATGACCAACTGATATATTTCACTGGTTTATGTATGTCAATAATAAACAATACTCAGTTAATATCAATATCATTTGACAAGTAGACCCTTTCAGTGTATCAACTTGAGTATGTTTGAAAAATTCCATGAAATCTGTAAAAACCAACTGACATGTATATGACTGTTAGCATTCTGGAACTTTTAATATAATAACTGTTGGCGTTTGACTTCGATTGCTTAAAAATAACTGTATATGAGAAATGCGTAAGGCTCTGAGACATTAAAAAAAGAATCATCATCCTGTCCAGCTGATGCAGCAATTCATGAACGAACCCTGAGAATTAGTGTTTACAATCATACGATCAGCACCACTGGTGACAACCTACCATTTGGTGAAACCACACTTTCGTGTTTTGAAAGGGAATAAGTTACTTATATGGTTTATAATACAGTCCATTGTCTGTGTGATCACGTATCTCGTTCAGGCAGAGAAACAAGAAAAATTAGGCGCTTGATATGGGAAGACGAATGAAGATAAATCAACGAGATTAAACCAAAAAGGCAGTTATCCTAATCCATCAAAGCATACTACAGACATCACAGGTGTCGGGCAAAAGGTGGATTACTTAACTAAGCCTGTAACTCCTCGTGAAGGAGCATCGGCCGCACACAAGCATATTCCATCCAACCCTGTACTGGGCAATGCTTTCCAGCTTCGTCCAGTTTTACTTCATCGTCTTCATATCTGCTTCTATTATCCAACGCAATGTCTTCTTTGACTTTCCTCATTTTTGCTCCCTTCAGGATTCCAAATTAGAGCTTGCCTCGTGAGGCAGTTTGATGATTTCTGTAATGTATGTCCTATCCATTTTGATCGTCTTTTCCTAATTTCTTCTTCAGCTGGAAGTTGGTTTGTTCTCTCTCACAGAAGGCTATTGCTGATGGTATCCGGTCAATGGATGTTGAGTATCTTGCGTAGACAACTATTTACAAATACTTGCACCTTCTTGATGATTGTTGTTGTAGTTCTCCAAGTTTCAGCTCCATACAGTAGAACTGCCTTGACATTGGTATTGAATATTCTCACTTTGATATTGGTTGAAAGTTGTTTTGAGTTCCATGTGTTCTACAATTGTAGGAATGCGGCCCTTGCTTTTTCAATCCTCGCTTTTACGTCTGCATCCGATCCTCCTTGTTCATCGATGATGCTTCCCATGTATGCGAAGGATTCTACATCTTCCAGAGTTTCACCATCAAGAGTGATTGGATTGCTGTTCTCCGTGTTGAATTTGAGGACCTTGGCATTCCCTTTGTGTATGCTGAGGCCTACTGATGCAGAGACTGCTGCTACACTGGCTGTCTTTGTCTGCATCTGTTCATGTGTATGCGATTGGAAGGCTAGGTCATCTGCGAAGTCCAAATCGTCTAATTGATTTCGAGCTGTCCATTGTATTCCGTGTTTTCCTTCAGATGTCGAGGTCTTCATAATCCAGTCGACCACCAGTAGAAATAGTAAGAGAGAGTAAACAGCCTTGAGATGGTGGAGAAGATTTGTAGCTCAGGTGGATGATTTTGGTGGAGTTTTGTTCTCTGAGCTGGATGGCTTGGTCGTGGAGCTTTCATCGTTCTTCTGAACGACATCATCAGCACAAACTTCAGATAGAAGTGAAGTCTTGTTTGTAGAACATGCTGGCGAAGACACTCCTGGAGAAAATATAGTTGTTCTGCCTTTTGGCAAAATTCTCCCATTTTCGAACAACGAGAAGCGTATTACGCTCATATTATTTTGAGATGGTGGAGAAGATTTGTAGCTCAGGTGGATGATTCTGAAGTTTGTGCTGATGATGTCGTTCAGAAGAACGATGAAAGCTCCACGACCAAACCATCCAGCTCACAGAACAAAACTCCACTAAAAAGTAGACAGCCTTGTCTGACTCTGGTCCTTAATTGGATTGGATCTGTCAGCTGCCCTCCGTGCACGACTTTGCACTGTAGTCCGTCGTATGAGTTCCGGATAATATTGACAATCTTCTCAGGAACTCCATAGTGTCGTGGAAGTTTCTATAACGTTCTCCTATCTACACTGTCAAATGCCTTTTCACAATCAATGAAGTTGATGTATAGTGACGAGTTTCGCTCAACTGATTGTTCGACGATGATCCGTGGTGTCGCGATTTGGTCTGTGCACGACCGATCCTTACGGAATCCAGCTTGTTGATCTCGAAGTTAAACGTCTACTGCATCTTTCATCCAATTCAGCAAAACTCTTTCAAAGACTTTTCCTGGTACTGATAGTAGTGTGATACCTCTGTAGTTTTCACATTTGCTCAGATCTCCTTTCTTTGGAATCTTGACGAGGTGCCCTTCTTTCCAGTCCATCAACACTTGTTCCTCCACTCAAATCTTTTTGAATAGAAGGTGAGGCATATTTGTAGTTACTTCGAAGTTTGACTTCAGTGCTTCAGCTGGTATATTGTCGGGTCCTGCTGCTTTCCCGCGCTTGATTTGTTTGATGGCCATTCTGATTTTTTCCGTCTTTGGTGGATTACCAACTATAGGAAGATCTGTGTGTGCTGCCTTGATGTCCTGTGGGTTCATTGGAGCCGACCTATTCAGAAGTTCCTCGAAGTACTCCACCCATCTGTTCCGCTGTTGTTGAATTTCGGTGATTGGCTTGCCTTCTTTGTCTTTGACCGGTCTCTCTGGTTTACTATATTTCCCTGCTAGTTTATTCGTTGTATCGTGAAGCTACTTCATATTTCCTTCTCTAGCAGCTTTTTCTGCCGTCGTTGCGAGTTCTTCCACGTATTTCTTCTTGTCGGCTCTAATGCTCCTCTTCACTTGTTTGTTTGCTTCTATGTATTCAGCTTGTGCTTGGACTTTCTCTGCTAGTGTTCGGCTGTTGTTTATTGCTGCCTTCTTGTTCTTCCTTTCTTTGATCTTGTCCAGTGTTTCTGTAGAGATCCATTCCTCATGATCGTGTTTCTTTAGACCCAGAACCTCTTGATACGTTGAAGTTAATGCTTCCTTGATGCCTTTCCAGTTGTCCTCCATACTAGTTTCTTCTTCTTTCAGTAGATCTTGTAAGGCTTGGAACCTGTTGTTGAGAGCTATCTTGAATCCATTGAGTTTGTCAGTATCTCGAAAGAAGGCTGTATTGAACCTTTGTAGTGCTGTTTGTCCACTTGTCCAGTTCTTTTTTAGCTTCAGTTTTAAATTGGCCACAACTAGGTGGTGATCTGAAGCTACGTCAGCGCCTCTCCTGGTTTTCACATCTTCCATTGTCCTTCGGAATTTTTCGTTGATGTAAATATGATCTATTTGGTTCTCTGTAGTGTTATCCGGTGAGATCCATGTAGCCTTGTGTATACGCTTGTGTGGAAATATTGTGCCTCCTATGACCAATTTGTTGAATGCACATAGATTTGCAAATCTTTCTCCATTTTCGTTTCTCTGTTCCGGTCCATGTCATCCCATAATATCTTCATATCCAGTGTTGTCTATTCCGACTTTCGCATTTAGATCACCCATCAGAATAGTTAGGTCCTTCCTTGGGCATTTCTCAATGACTGACTACAGCCGCTCGTAGAATTGATCTTTAATGTTGTCGTTGCTATCATTTGTGGGTGCATAACATTGGATAATATTCATTAAGATCCCCTCCTTCTTTGTTTTGAAATGATGCTTTGATGATTCTGGATCCGTGAGATTCCCATCCTACAAGTGCATTTCGTGCTACTTTGGACAGCATAAGAACGACTCCTTGAGTGTGTGGAGCATTGTCCTCTTCGTGACCGGAGTATAGCAGCATCTCTCCCGTACCTAGCCTTTTCTGTCCAGCTTGGGTCCAGTGGGTTTCGCTGATTCC